GAATGCAGAATGGCACCGGCTATAGAGGACTCCAAAACCCAGCAATAGTACATTATACAGCGCAGTGCGGAATACCACCAGCTATAGATGAATAATACAAATCCCAGCAATAGTACATTATAACTGGCGGTATTCTGCATTGCGCTGTATAATGTACTATTGCTGGGATTTGTTGTACTCCTCTATAGCTGGTGGTATTCCGCATTGCTCTGTATAATGTATTATTCCTTGATTTGTAGTCCTCTATACAGCGCAATGCAGAATACCACCAGCTATATAGGAGTACAACAAATCCCAGCAATACATTATACATACAGTGTACAATGTATTGCTGGGATTTGTATTCCTCTATAGCTGATGGTACATTGCTCTGTATAATATACAGCACAATGTACCATCAGCTATAGAGGAATGCAAATCCCAGCAATACATTATAGAGCACCATGTGGGGGAAAGTGCAGGCTTACCTGAGCAGTCTTCCAGCAACTTGTTTCTGAGATCGGGCCTGTCTATCGGCGGCTGTCATCCGCCCACACCTGCTCTTCCTTACTACTTCTCCCCGTGTCCCTGTGCCGATCGTGGATTTGGCCGGGCGGTGAGCGTGAGGCGCGGAGGAGGTGTGGATGCGGGCAGGTCTGGCAGCGGCAAGCGTGAGGTGGGGAGGAGGTGTGGCGCGCAGCGTGTGTGGAGCCGTGAACAGGGCCAACCAATCAGAAGCCGATTAATCGATGATTGAAAAAGTTGTCAACTTTTTCAATCATCGATTAGTTGCAGCCCTAGAACTATGGGTATGCAATTTTTGAACAGGGGTCATTTTATTTTTATTTTTTGTTGCCCTGTTTTGTTTTATGATTGTTATGACCTATGAACATGAATCCAATAAGAAATAAAAGAAATGTGTTTTGCCTGCTAACTCATGTTTTCTTTAAAAATGGTACATATATTACCATTTCTCCAAGGGTATGCAAACTTTTAAGCAAAACTGTATTTGTTTTAAATCTGCCTAGAGTTCAGATTTATCTCGTCATATGTAAGAAAGGTTGAAGGAGAATTATGGGGAGAGTGAAATACACTCATTCGCATAAATAGAGCCGACGTGTGACACTGCAGCTGTCACACGTCAGCTCTATTGATTGAGAAGTGAGCGATCACATAACGCTGTTAGTCACACCTCCCCGCAAGGATTCCCTATTCCCCTCTCTCTATTCCTCCAGTGCTGACAGAAGGAACGGGGGAGGGGCGGGCACAGCTGGCTCTGGCTCTAGAGAGTCAACGCCAGTTGTCAGTTAGGCAGCGGGGTGGATCCCATCAATATTGTCAGGATCTGCCCCAGTTGCAGCGCGGCTCTGCGCTGTTAGTATATAATGGGGCAATAGCACGCTATATGCTGAGTTTTGGGTCACAGGAGGACATTACTGTATGTCCTCCTGTGCCCAAGAGAGAACCATTGCAAAAAAATATTGGGCCATAGTTCTCTTTTAAGCAGGGCATCATGCACTCAGGACAGGAAGTGATTTGAACATTTTTGAACAGGGACACTTCTGGAAAATCTTTGAACAAATCTTTGAACAAACAGAGCCGGCAGCTGACTGGCGTTGGTGTACTCTAAGAGCGGCTGGTGGCTGCTGTCAGAATATAATGAAGGCAGCAGGAGATTCTTGGATCAATGCTCGTAAGCGTTGAAGGAGGAACCTGTGATATTTCAGGTTGAACTAAGATAATATTAGTGCATGGCCAACTTAAGACTTTAAGGCTAAGAGAATTGGTTTGCAGCAAGTTGTTCAGGCCAATGGCATATGTTTAGGGCTGAAACAACTAATCGACTAAGTCGATGACAACTATTTTCATTATTGATTTATTAACGGTTTTCATTATCGATTAGTTGGGCTGCTTGCAGCTCCACACATGCTTCCCGCCTCACCCAGCTCTCACTGACAATCAGTGATCGACCCAGGGAAGAGAATTGCGAATCCCGGCGGATACTGCTCAGCATCAGGTAAGATGCCGGGGAACTGGGAGCACACTGGCCAGGGGCTTAGGATGAGGCACAGATAGATGGGAAGGCCATTTGAGTGATGACTGGTCGGTAGTGTAGCGGGAAGAGGAGGATGGGGTGAGGAAAGAAAATGTTAGAAATGGCAGCCTGACTGGGACATATACCGAGCTGTTGCAGAGCAGGGAGGAGAGCACTGCCCTATAGCCGGTGCTGCTGTCTGTGTGCTCGGGTACATGTCCGTGTCACCCATGGAGATGTTTCCCTTCACCATCCTGCTGCCTGCACTCCCCTCCCCACCCCCCCTCCCCACTGACAGCCTGACACAGCCGCACTTCGCAGTTCCCGGCGGGGACACCTGCTGACATTGACAAATTGCCCAAAATTCCTAAAAAAAATCCTCTAGGAGCCCCTGAGGGAGCGTGGGCTCAGGGTTCCAGAGATTTAGTTTGTCAGTTTAAGAGGGACCGGCCGTGGGTGGGGGCATCTGTCATTACTGGTGGAGAGGGGTGCTATCTTGTTAACTGGAGGGAGCATCTGTTATTACCTAGTGGGGAGGGGTGCTATCTTCTTATTACATGTAGGGGGCATCTTTCATTACCTTGTGGCGGGGGAATGTTATCTGACGGGGAGGGGCATCTGTAATTGCAGGGTGGGGAGGGGTGCTATTATGTGTTGTATGTGTGTGACGTGCATGTATTATGTATTGTATGTGTGCTGTGTGTGTAGCGAACACACTTAAAGTGACATTAAACCCTCAGATTTTTTAACATAAAACAATACTGTAAAGTGTGCCTTACTGTAATCCATGGTGGTTTCCCTTCTCTTTGCTGCTCTTCCTTTTAAATCTGTATCTGTTCTCATGCTGGGCAGAACTTCTGTTTTGCAGCAGACTGCCTTGTCTCAGGAATGGATACATGGTGTCTGTGTATAGGTTTGTAACCTGAGCCAGCACTACAGGAAGAGGCCCTGAGCTGCAAAGGGAAGTTCTCCCCAAGCATGAGAAGACATGAGGATTTAAAAGGAAGAGCAGCAAAGAGAAGGGAAACAACCATGGATAACAGTAAGGCACAAATGACAGTATTGTTTTATGTTAAAAAAATCTGAGGGTTTAATGTCACTTTAAGCCTGTGAAGTCCGAGACACGCTGTAAGCGGAGTAGCAAAGTTAAATGGTGATGCACAGAGCTTTGCATGCAGTTTGTCTAGCACTATCCTCTCCCGCGCTCAGCTAGGCGAGATCAAAATTTTTATCTCTAGCCAATAGGCTTGTATGTATGAATCCATGTCATGACACAGATTCAAGTGTGCAGCCAATCCAATTTCCCAGATAAAAGTATCTGGTGGGAGGAGTCCAGGAGAGAAGTCCGTTTGGTAATGTCTTTCTTCCTGCACAAGTTCTATCTGTGACCTATGCCAGGGATGAGAGCTATGCAAGAATTAATATGATATGTACAATAAATTATGAAACATTTAATTAATAATAGTAGTTAGATAATTAAATAACTAACAATTAATAATAATAAAAAATGTAAAACATTTATCAGATTAATCGGAAAAAATCGGCCAACTAATTTATAAAATTGAATGTTAGTTGCAGCCATACATATGTTCCAATTAAATTGCATGTTTCAGTTACTATACAAATCTACCTGAAAAAAATCCTGGCATGTAATAATAATACATTATATCATATTTTTATTTGTTGTGACCATGCTTAGGTACAGTCTGTGACATTCTTCACTGTTGGGTCTGGTCACACTTGGCCTATGTATGGAGCTAGAGGCATTGGGGTTGATTTACTAACCTTTTAAACACACCACGAACGTGTATACACCTCTGTAGTGTGTTCCCTCCCAGCATGATCTATGGGAGGAATGGAAACACCTTTGTAGTGTGTACACACCCAGCAGGTGTGTTGTGCAAAGCCCTGCAATGAATTGCAAGGTGATGTTGTGTAAATTAGCTCTACATTGTGCTGCTTGCGTTGATGAATGCAGGAATGTAAATGCATGAGCTAACCATTTTTGTCTAAACTGTGAAGCAGCATTATATATGCATCATGTGCATGATTTTTCCATATATGGCATTAGTGGAAATATGCTTTTAGAGACTTTTTGGTTGATAAATACGTTTTGCTGTGTGAAAATCACACACACCTTGTGTGTGTGTGTGTGTGTGTTTAGGTTAGTAAATCACCCCCATTGACTGGGTTGTACATTGTGACTGTGCTCCTTAGGAGAAATTTCTCCCTTGCACAATGCTTCCAGGAATCTGTTGGACAGATCAAGGGCTCCAAGTAAATTTCCTAATAATCAGGATTGTGTGTAATTGGAATAGGCTGTAAAGCAATGTGTCTAATTGCATTGTACTTGCAAACATTTATGCCACTCCTGTTATTGGTGACTGTTATATTTGTGACTCACTGCTCTGTGTGCTTCTAGGTTTTGAAACTGGGAATCTCTGAACAATAAATGATTTGGGACCATAGGAAATTGCATAGGATGAATGCTAGGATGCAAAATAAGGAACTAAGCTGTTAACATGCAAAATGTTCCTGAAATGACAGTATGTGTAAAGCTAAATTCCAAGCTTGTGTTATGACCACATTTTAATCCAGTTATGTGTTTTGTTTTTTAAATGACATGTTTTACTGAACACGGAACTGGCTTCGTGTTTGCTTCCTGTGTTCCTGTTTCCTCAGCTTGAAAGAAGACAGGACAGTCCTGTCAGTCAGTCCTAATTGCACAGGACTGAGAATCTAACTGTGAAAGCTTGCAAGGAGAGAACCTAATTTGCATGAATATCTTGACAAACTTTTGGCAGGTAGACAGTTTGTATGTATTTTTTTGCGTGTCCGTGTCAACTCTTTTTCTAGCTTCTTGTTTAAAGTTCAGCTTTAAGGAATGCATGTACAATCAAACCAACTTCATATGCATGGTTGGTATATTCAGTTGTTATTTGAAGCATCCTAAAAACGCTGACCATTTTATGTGCTTTGTTTACAGTCTGACTCCATGAAAAATGACAGAAGAGGTCATTGTTATTGCCAAATGGGATTATATGGCACAACAGGACCAAGAACTTGATATCAAGAAAAATGAACGCCTGTGGTTGTTGGATGACTCCAAAACATGGTGGAGGGTACGAAATGCAGGCAATAGGACCGGATATGTTCCATCTAACTATGTTGAGCGGAAAAATAGCTTAAAAAAGGGATCATTGGTGAAGAACTTGAAGGACACCTTAGGTAAGGCTTGTTAAATATTTTGAAGTTGAACACTTGGTTTAATAACTTTTATTTGTGTATGTCAACCTAGTAAGCATTTTGTCTTTAATTTTCTTTGGAGTCAAGTAGTGCCAAGCATTGATAATATTTATTTTAATGAAATAATAGTGTCCTTCTTTTTTGCTTTTTTTTTAAGGTCTCTTCATTCAGTTTGATCATTTATCTAATTTGTTTTACCTAAATATTACTTTCCAATAGAATTTTTGGATTCGTGCAGCACAAGCGATGAACACTAAAATGATAATCACGTTCTTTTATCTTCATAAAAAGTAAACTTTTATTTCAGTTTATTTAAGGCCAGTTGCTTAATTATATGTCCTGTCTCATAAGCATTAGCTACTTAAGTCCCTGGGGCTTTTTTCCCTTTAACACTCTTGGGTCCCAGAGCTTTATATTTTACATCTAGGTTCCACACCTTTTATCTTTTAGCTTTTGCAGTCTAATCTAACATATCGTACACTGTTTTTCTTGGGACAGATAGGGATATAAAGCTGAATTCTGCACTAACTATGAATTGTCATCCATACTTCCTTTCCCTGTACACAATTTGAATGTACACTATATTGCCAAAAGTATTGGGACGCCTGCCTTTACACGCACATGAACTTTAATGGCATCCCAGTCTTAGTCCGTAGGGTTCAATATTGAATTTGTGCACCCTTTGCAGCTATAACAGCTTCAACTCTTCTGGGAAGGCTGTCCACAAGGTTTGGAGTGTGTCTTTGGAAATGTTTGACCATTCTTCCAGAAGCGCATTTGTGAGGTCAGGTACTGATGTTGGGCAAGAAGGCCTGGCTCGCAGTCTCTGCTCTAATTCACCCCAAAAGTGTTCTATTGGGTTGAGGTCAACTCTGTGCAGGCCAGTCACGTTCCTCCACCCTAAACTCGCTCATCCATGCCTTTTTATGGACCTTGCTTTGTGCACTGGTGCTCAGTCATGTTGGAGCAGGAAGTGGCCATCCCCAAACTGTTCCCACAAAGTTGGGAGCATGAAATTGTACAAAATGTCTTGGTATGCTGATGCCTTAAGAGTTCGTTTAACTGGAACTAAGAGGCCAAGCCCAACCCCTGAAAAATAAAAAAATAACCCCACACCATAATCCCCCCTCCACCAAACTTTACACATGACACAATGCAGTCAGGCAAGTACCGTTCTCCTGGCAACCGCCAAACCCAGACACGTCCATCGGATTGGCAGACAGAAGTGTGAATTGTCACTCCAGAGAACACGTCTCCAATTCTCTAGAGTCCAGTGGCGGCGTGCTTTACACCACTGCATCCGATGCTTTGCATTGCACTAGGTGATGTAAGGCTTGGATGCAGCTGCTTGGCCATGAAAACCCATTCCATGAAGCTCTCTATGCACTGTTGTTCCAATCTGAAGGACAGGAAGTTTGGAGGTCTGTAGCTATTGACTCTGCAGACAGTTGGCGACTTCTGCACACTGTGAGGTTCAGCATGCGCATTCCATCAACCGTGGCCTACCACTTCATGGCTGAGTTGCAGTTGTTCCCAGTTGCTTCCAATTTGTTATAATACCACTGGTCCAACGGTTGACTGTGGAATATTTAGTAGCAAGGAAGTTTTACGGAACACCTGAATGCATTGCTTTGGAGGGGCGTCCCAATACTTTTGGCAATATAGTGTATAATCTTCTTTTTGTAACTGATCTATTTTTATAGTAATGTACCTTGAAAATTGCAGAAACAATACAGTTCAGCACAGTGATCCTTGGCTGTCTCTTGGGCTCCATCTACCTACAGTTCTGGCACATATGGCTTAATCCTCCCCTTTCCCCAGTGGTTTAAAAGTTGTGAGTACCCTTTGGCGGACATTCCACACTACACATGACAGATCATAGACACAGGGGTGATGTGTCAGAGGTTTTGCAGCTCACGTTCAACTAATGGATCAGGAAGAAAGGGGTCGGGTAATTGGAGTCTCTCTCCCAAAGGTGTTGCTTCTCTCAGCCCTGGCCACTGCCCCCAGTCTGAATGTCTCTTTTCCTCAGACACCTCCATACCTGCCTCTGGCACACACTCCTTCTCCTGCCTGTCTAGAGAGGAGTTTTCAGCTACTATGACTGACTTTAAGTGAACAATCTCAGCCTTCAGGGGCGCAGACCGCAGAGGTTGCAAGGGGCCCCGTTCAGCCTCCCCTTCAGAGTCTGTCTCTGTTTTTCCTCTCAGTTACTGTGCTCCCTGAGGCAGTACATATATGCCTTCATCATGCATTTACTAAGGTCTCAAGCCTAAAAATGCCCAGACTTGAAAAGATCTTGTAATGTTGTATGGTTACTGGCCCCTACAAAAATGCTTTGCTCAGCACTACCCTGTTGAGTGTTTTTCTCTCAAAACCCACCAATTTGGGAACAAGCCCTCCTCTCAATGGTGTGCCCCAACTTCTCAGAGTGAGGAGGAAGACTGTCGACCTTCTCGGCCAGTGTCCAGAGTGTAATATCCAAGGGCTACAAACTGGAGTTTCAGTCTCTGCCTCCTCCCCACTTTATGCACTTAATTTCATTTCGCCTTCCTCCCTGCAAACAAGGTGGATTTGTACACTGCTCTTTAGCACAAAGAAAGAATCCAGCGATTCTACTTGAACCCGTTCACTGTTCACAAGAACAGCTTGTTCATTTTCTCCCTCCTGAGGCTTCATCCTTCTCTGCTCCGCAGGATTAGGATGGTGGGCATCCTGGTGATGCATAAAACTGGTCCAGGAGTGTGCGGTACTCCAAAATACTCAGGCTCCTGGCAGACTCTGTAGGTCCATCCAGATCTTCTGTCCCAAGAGCTGGTCCATCAGCTTACTTTGCATATTGCAAGGCTAGGAAATTCCGTCCTGCTAAGTACTCCATGGGGCTCGTCCTGTCCTTCCTCCAGGCTGGTCTGGATCAGCATCTGGCCTTGAGCATCATTTTATGCCAAATCTCAGCCCTAGCTATTCTGTTTCAAAGACCGCTTGCTTTTCACTCCTTAGTTAAGGCCTTTGTGCAGTGAGAACGTAGGATCTCAACCAGATTCTATTGCCCACTATCTGATCTCACTTGCTGCTGTCACTTCTGTGAGGCGAGTTTCTGCGTTAGCGACCTTAATCTGTAAAGACCCTTTCTTATTTCTTAGTATTACACTCGGATAATAAATAAAACCTACTTTCGCCCCAAGGTGGCTTCCTCCTTCCACCTTAACCAGACCATGCCCTGCTCTGAAGCTTCCCAAGGAAATTTTGCTCCACTCTCTGGATGTTGTACTCGCTGCTATCTGTCATCTGTCTGCTGCCATATCATTTTGGCAAATTCATTCCCCCCCCCCTTCCTTCCATAGAGGGCTCCCAGCATTTCGCTTCACCATTGCATGGTGGATTAGACAGGTCATCATTCGAGGTTATAGTCTGAAGTTCCTCCCTTCCCTGTTAAGGCACATTCTACCAGATCTTTTAGTGCTTCATCGGATTTTCAGCATCAGGCATCTGTTTCCCAGATTTGCAAGGCTGTCAATTGGTCTTCGGTTCACACGTTTAAGTTTTACCAGGTGGGTGTTTAGGCCTTCTCTGATGCCAGTTTCAGGCATAATGTGCTTAATGCTGCTTTCTGAGTTTGTCGAGCTTTTGCCTGCTGTTAAGTGGGCCTCTTGGTGTTTGTTGGCAGTGTGGACCACCCCTCAGTTGGACTGCCTTTAGGCATCCCATTGTTAAGACTACAGATCCTGTGTCCTGTCCCATTTAAGAAAAGAAAACTGATACTTGCTGGGAGTGTGTGTGTTTATACTGGTGTTGTTGTTGCACCATGTTATGCCAGTGTCCAGTCACCTCAAAGTGGCAATAATAGCCCATGGTTAAAATTACACATTCTGTGTCCAGTACTGTACTCCTAGAAAAAGATTTTACAGGTTAGTCATCTTTTGTTTTTGTGTATAGTGTATTAACATATACATGAGGATAGTGGTATTTGCTAATTTATGTGGGCTCAGCTTCTTGACTACTAGTATAGTCATTTTGTTAATGTGGTTTAAATCATTTATTGAATGTTTTGGGGGGTGGTATGTACGTACACACACTTAGATTTTCTAACGGCCCATTACTTTAACTTCCCTTTTTGACTGCAAGCAACACGTTTATTATTATTTCTTTACAGGTCTTGGTAGGACAAAGCGAAAGACTAGCACAAGAGATGCTTCACCAACTCCAAGTACTGATGCAGAATATTCATCAAATGGTACCAATGCTGATCGAATCTATGACTTAAACATTCCAGCATATGTAAAATTTGCCTATACGGCAGAAAGAGATGACGAGCTCTCTCTTGTGAAGGGTGCAAGAGTCATTGTTATGGAAAAATGTAGTGATGGCTGGTGGCGTGGAACACTCAATGGACAGGTTGGATGGTTTCCATCAAATTATGTTGTAGAAGAAGTTGATGAAGCCACCGCAGATTCCCCAAGTTTTCTCAGTTTGAGGAAAGGTGCATCAATAAGCAATGGGCAAAACACTAAAATTCTGCATATTGTACAGACACTGTACCCATTTAGTTCAGTAACTGAAGAAGAGCTGAACTTTGAGAAAGGAGAAATAATGGAAATAATTGAGAAGCCCGAGAATGACCCTGAATGGTGGAAATGTAAAAATTCCAGTGGGCAGATTGGCCTTGTTCCCAAAAACTATGTTGTCATTCTAAGTGACGGTCCTTCTATAAATAGTCCGCATATTAATCAAATAAGCTACACTGGCCCTGCTTGCACGGGACTTTTTGCTGGAAAGCCATGGTACTATGGAGGAATTACAAGGCATCAGGCAGAATGTGCCCTAAATGAAAGAGGAATGGAGGGTGACTTTGTCATTCGAGACAGCGAATCTTCTGTAAGTAATACCATAATTGTTTTTCTCATAAAACAGCATGTCACATCACTTATCATAGAAATTGGCACCTTTCTGTGGAGTTGATTAATCCTTGCTAAAATCACAGAATCTTTCAAACTTTTTTTCGGAACAAAAATGCAGAGAATTGAAGTAACCTCTTAGAGCAGACATATTGTATCTCCCATTGCTGGATACTTTTTTTAAGGTTTCGGAGCCCTCACGGGCAGGACCCTCCTTACCATCTTGTCTTGGATTGTATTTGATTGATTGTAATGTCTTCCTTATATTGTAAAGCGCTGCGCAAACTGTTGGCACTATATAAATCCTGTATAATAAGAAGTATCAAGAACCCAGAGCAAATGTGCATAGCAGGTGTCCTAACACGTGATGTACACATGCTTGTTCTAGGTAACTGAATCAATAAGTAATTAGGAAAGTGATGAATGCAACAGTACATGACCCCTGTGAGACTGCAATGCCAGCTACCATTTTTCTATGCAGACCTGTTTTCTTTTAAAGGTGTTTTCTGATTACATAACAATTGAAAGCCCCTTATTTGGTAAATAATGACTTGTGGCTTTGTCCTCCTCCAGCCATTCTCCAGACACATTTTGATTGGCAGTTTTCTGGAGGGAAGGTGGTGTCGGCATTTTTGGTTTTGCTGCTTGTATGGTTTATATGATCACATAAGTAGCTTATTTATTCACATGACAGCCTGACAGTGGCCACTGCTGCCACGTTTCATGTTTCGGCTTCATCCTCATTTTGTGAGCAGATGAAGAGAGAAAGGACAAAGTGCTCAAGTGGGGCTTGTAGTAATAACAATAGCCTTCACAGCTGTCGGGCTAAACGGAGATTATTCTACAGTACATGCAGCTACAGAGATCAGTGAGAGCATTTATTAAAGCTCTTTTACTGCTTATCAAGAATATGAAGAGACTTAAGTGTCCATAGTCTGGGTACTGGTGCAGTTTCACGTGTATTTTGGAAACCCCTACTATATGTTTGTGTGTTCCCATTCCTTCAGTATACCAAAACAAAAAAACATTTATTACATTTTAAGTTGTTTCTTGGAGCAGGATTATACATATGACTCTTTGGGCAGCTTCTACTGATTTGAAAATAGGGCAACATAATGATAAGTGACAAGACTGAGATACAGTGCATTAACATACAATGAGGGGAAGTTATCAGAACTCTAGCAGTTGTCCATGCCAGCCAATCAGCTTCTACCTTTCATTTTCAAATCTTAAGAATTATGGGGAGAGTGAAATACACTCACCCCCATAATTAGAGCCTATGTGTCACACTGACGCTGTCACACGTCGGCTCTATAGATCGAGAACTGAGCGATCACATACTGCTGATCTCTCTGTTCCTCCAGGACTGAATGGAGGCACCAAGGGGCGGGTACAGCTGGCTCTAGAGAGGCAGAGCCAGCTGTCAATCAGGTGGTGGGGTGGATCCCTACAATATTGTCGGGATCTTTCCCGGCCACAGCACAGAGCCGTGCTCAGTTTTGGGTCACAGGAGTACATAGTAAATGTCCTCTTGTGACCCTATAGAGAACTATGAACAAAGAAAGGTTGGGTCATAGTTCTCTTTTAACTGAACAAATTGAAGAGCAAAGCTAATTGGTTACTATGGGCATCTGCTTCAGCTTTGATTATTCCTCCCAAATGTCTTGTCTTTTTTTTATTTCTAAATATATACTTTTTTTAATTTCACATATGAGAACAGGGGACAATAAAAACACTTGAACATTGTGGCACCAAAGAACATTAAAGGAGAACTATGGGGTTAGGGCTTTTCCCCATAGTTCTCCTTAGGGTAACGGGAGGACACAAACTAGCGTCCTCCCGACACCATAAGCTCAGTATACCGCGAGCGAGCTACAGCTAGGGGTATACTGAGACGCTGAAGCGGATCCCGACAATTATGTCTGGATCCGCCCAGCTGCGTGAGTGACAGCTGGCTCTGACTATCTAAAGGCAGAGCCAGCTGTACCCTCCCCGTCCGTTCCGCCAGTCAGCGCTGGAGGATCGGAGCAGGGAGGGGGGATTCAAGCCACTCCCCTGTCATGGCTTGATTCGCTCGTATGTGTTCGCTCACTTCCCGATCTACTGACAGTTTCATTGTCACAGGTCGGCTAGAACTATGAGGTGAGTGAAAAGCACTCGCCTCATAGTTCTCCTTTTAAGGCACACATGGTTGCAGTAGGACATACTGCAAAACAACCCAATAATGTCAAGATCACAAAAGAAATGTAATAGTTAAAACATGTAAACGCTGCAAACTGTCCTGCTTGATTTCCTCCCAGTGTCTTTAGATCCTTAACCTTTTGTTATGACAGACAGTCCTGCACATCTAGTTAACAACTGATCATGAAATCTGTCAGCACAGTACAGACAGGGTTAATTATGGCACACATAATTCCCCTGCCACTCCAAAAACATTGCATAGCAAGGAAGGAAGAATGAAGCAGGATTTTTCAGTCGAGTTTGTAGCATTAAAATGACACTTTAACGCAAGAGTTAAATCTTAAAAATACATTCAAGTACCCTAACTACTAACAAAGCTGTACCTTCCCTATTTCAACACTCCTCTTGGTATCTCCTGGCTAAATCTGATGGGTCCTTAGGCAACTTGATGTATTGTGACTTATATGTTTGGATACGCATATTTATGTCTCTCTAGCAATATATGAAGATGTTTACAGCTACATAGGTGTATGTGTTCCATCTCATCGAACTTAGTCACTCTTCTTCCCTTTCACGCCCACACCCAGGTGAACGCCCCTCTGCTAGAACGTACTCATTGCATTTCAATCATACACATGATTTAGTATATCTACAACTTACTCTTTTCCCCTTCCCCCTTCCTTTCATCTCTTCTACTACATCCTTACTCGTGACCCCTAGACATGATCCTAATCTATATAAAAAGAAATCTAGGGGTATTCTTACTTCTTACTACTTTCATGACACCATTGATGTTTCCAGTAAATGGCTGTTGAGGATATAAAATCACATGGTATTTGTTTTAATGACTAACGCGCATAATTTGCCTATGACATGTATCCGGCTGGCTGCATGACTGTATACCACCGTTTGTAATTCGTCTACCACCACTTATGTATTCTACAAAATTCAATAAAGATATACATGCTTAAAGAAAAAAACCTGGACCTTATTTGTGTATCACTCAGCTGTAGATCCTCAAATGATCTCTGAATTGGTGCTGACACTGTCCTTCCTTCTGGAGGGTGGCTACTTTTGTTCCCCATGGCCCCTGTGTGTGTTGTAAAGTAGGACTGCAACTAATGATTATTTTCATAATTGATTAGTTGGCCGATTTTTTTAATTTTTTTGATTAATCGGATTTAAAAAAAACCCCTCCATAAACTTAAAATAAAATACTTAAATGAATTGTTATAAACATAAAGTTTACTTCAGAATAAAACTGCATGCACAGTGTGGGTGGGAGGGGTGTTTGGTGTGCCAAAATTGAATGGCACTGCAATGCACCTCCTACAGCAAAATTTGGCAGGCTGAAACCGAAAATTACTTTCTCTCCCCCCCCCCCCCCCCCCCCCGACCACCCGCA